GCAGAGGGCGGCCAGGCTGCGCAGAGGCCTGGGCCACGCCTGTCTGGGCCGCAGCCGGCCGCTGGGAGTGCGGGCGGCGGGCTACCGGGTGGGTATACCCTTGGGGCGGGCAGCTGGGCCGCCCCCCCACCCCAGGGTGAAGGAGGTTAGCGCCTTAGAACCGCCGGGTCCCTCAGAAGAAGGGTGGGAAAGGGGTTGAGACCGCTCCAGGCCAGAGCAGCTAGAGCAACAGCTCTTAGAAAAAGAGGCCAGAAAAAGCAAAAAGGAGGTTTGATAAGTTGCAGATCACACTTGCAGACAGCACTCCCCAGATTTTCATTTAAATCCAGGACCTTTCCATCATCACAGACCCGCTTCTTGTTCTGCAGTTGTCGCCGGAACTTAGAGCAGGCCAAACAGGCAAACTGGGCAGAGGCAGAACGCCAGGGACGGTTTAAATCAGTGGATCTCAAAGTGAGGTGCCCGAACCAGTAGCATCAGCACCAACAAGCTGTTAGAAATGCAACTCTCAGCCCCTCTGCAATCCGACACTCCAGGGGAGGGTCCCAGCCATCTGTGTTCTAATCCATCCTGTACACTCCGGTTTGGAAACCAGTGATGTAAGGAACAGAGCCCTTGTGTCTGTCCGGGCTGCACTGTTTGTAAATACTTTATATACATCTTCTCCCATTTTATAGCTGAGGACATGGGACCAGAGGGATCAGACGGACAAGGAGGTGTCCCAACCAGCCAGAGATGGACCTACCAGTGATTACTCCATCCCCACCTCTCTGGCTCCTGGCTCCTGGCTCCCACTGCTGAACTGGCCGCACCTGTATTGTAATGCTAGTGTAGAGGAGGCCCTACTGGGATTTCCACTGGGAGACTCCAGCTTCCACACAGTTCAAAAGCCACCTCAGTGAGGCAGCTGTGTGCCCCTTCCTCCCCCTATCACTCAGTTTCCAGGGGCTGAGCTCTACCTGCAGCTTCTGGAAGGTAGTACCTCTGCCACCCACCTCTCAGCCTGGCCTAGCCCTTTTCCTCCATGTGAACTACCTACTTCTTGCACAGCACAGAAATATCAGGGAACTGGGCTGTCAGTTTTGATGCTAGTATGGGGCATGCTGGGGTGCTTGTCAAGTATCTCCTTGCTATGAATTCTCCTCAAATTCCTGCCAGGTCAG